GTGTGTGTGTGTGTGAGTGTCTGTCTATGGGTGTTTGTCTGTGGCCAAGCCGATTGTATTGTCCTTTCTAGAGGTTGAGCAGAACAACGCTGCGAATGGATACAGACACTATTTCACGTTTTCAGAAGCCTGGCAGCTGCAAACCCCGTTTGCTTCCTGGTACAGCAAGTCTTACGCCTCTGGTACGAAGCCCCTGTTGGACGCCTGGTATCTGGATGATGAGCATGCCTCCCTGCTGCACTGAATCCTTGTCTAGCTCTGAACATGTCCATCACGTTTCTGTCATCCTTTTTCTTCCCGTGGCGGCTTGAGGTCATACGGAGAGCGTCCTACAAGGGGGCCGCGGTGAAATGCAAGTTCAAGACCCCAGTCGATTGTGCCACCGTCCCTGGCATGATCCTGTGCCTGAGCAGTGTGTTGCAAAACCGTGGACTTACGAACACGTCCGTCCAACGTGTTTGGAAGGTCTTTGAGGTCTTCGACAGGCAGAGCAGCATGAATCAAATGCTGGCTTTGCTTCCCGACCTCCAAGTGGAGGCAAAGGAGAACATGGTTCGAATCGAGGATTGGCACGCTGCTCTGCAGAGGTTAGGCTTCGGTGCACTTGTCGAGCTCACGACCAGGTTCGAATTTGGTGAAAGTGTAAGTCTACGTAGGCATTCCGACGAAGTCATACTGTCCTCAGCTTTCGATGACCCCTGTCAGATACTTCGGAAACGACAAAAACTTCATCAGTGTCGGGAAATGTTTGTTCTTGCTGCTGGCAGCGCGGCAAAGGCCGACCGTCCGCGACTCCCCCTCAGCAGAGACAGTCACCATGAGACTCTTGCATCAGTTCTGCCAGCACGTCGAGGGGAGGCTCGAGCGAGATGGATCGCCTTTGCTATCCTCATGTCCTTACCCGACGAAGTGCTCGACGTACCACCCTTACCTGAAGCACTCCCGCTCTCAGGGGCATCCTGCTCTGAAAGACAACTTGCTGGCCCGCTTCGGGGCCAAGTCAGGCGGATTTGCAACAAGCAAGGACGAGCTTTCGTTGCACGAGCTGGGCATCGTGTCAAACAAAAGCAGAATCGCTCAGAGAGCTTGTTCTGAATGGCTCATCCGCTACATGTGTAAGGCCTCGCAGGCCATGGCCGAGGATATGAAGTCTCAGGGCGACCTGAAGACGTTGAACTTCTGCCTGGATGCTGCCCGGGTATGCAGACAGCAGGCCGCTAATTACGCGGGGCCCGACGTTAGTTAGGTCGGCTTTTCCTTATCTTTCAGTTGTTGATTCTGTCAGTGCTGCTCCAGACGTTGCCTCATGATGTGCAGGTGCTGACGTTCCAATTTCGGGTTGGAGAGTCTTCCCAAGCTGCGCTTCTGCAGATCTTGCCAGACACTGCACCTTGCCGCGACGCCCGAACCACCCTCAAGGCCTTAGACATGGCCCTCGAGGGGGGCCTCCCGACGCAGAGCAAGAAACTGGTGAACACGGCCAAGCACCTTGTGACTTACAGACAGTCTGCGAAGCAAATTCTGCACAGCATCAAGAACGCCATCGGTGTGTATGTGCAGGACTTTTCCTTTGCCGACACTCTGCCAAGTCAGCTGTTGCGGCCGAGAGGTGACACGTGCAAGAGGCTTGAGCTCACAAAGGAAGAGAAGCAGCTGCTGTCTTTCCCAGAGAACAGGAAGCGGTTTTTTCTCTTCAACACCGAGTCAGGTGAGACCAGTCTCGATTGCCATGCACCGATGGCAGTAGGCGGGTCGCCCCCTCTGACGCTGTGCTGGGCAGCAGACGAGGGGACGGACCTCTTCGTTGCATTTCAGTATGTGGCGAAGCAAGGATGCTTTTGCATCTTTTGGCCAGACCTCTTTCATAAGATCCACAGGAAGCCGGCTGGGGCAATTGCGAACTACAGCGACAGCCGCATTTTGCTCAGCAAGCTCACGAAGCTTTTCCGATCCTCCCGAGCGCCCTGGGACTCATCGAAATTTGGCAAGCAGCGCCTGGAGACCAGGGTGAGGCTCATCGAGGAGCTCGACATGCAGAATGCAAGCAGCAATGCGCTTGACACTTGCACCGCCGGTATTGCAAGAGACTTGGACATCCCAGTGTGCGACATGTCGCGACGACGCGCTCTGCAGGAGCTCCAGAAGTGTGCAGGCAGCTCTCATTGTCAGTGCTAGTGCTTCTCGTGCTGTTATTGTTTTGTGCCGCACTCTGTGAGCAAGAACCGATCCAGTTTCGTGTGAGTGTTGCTTGAAACACCCAAATCCTGGAGGCAGCTTGCACTTCGGACAAGCAGAGTGCAAAGAGGGTCGATGGATGGCCTGGTTTGATCACGCCTCTTCTTTCGACCGTCTTTCG